TATGCCGCTAGGGAAGTCAGAAATAGAAAAAGATTTGGGGGTCATTGTAGACCACAAACTGAATGGTAGCTTGCAGTGCCAAGCTGCGGTAAACAAAGCTAGCAGGGTCTTGTCCTGTATTAAGAAGGGGATGTATTACAGAGACAAGTCTATAATTGTGCCTCCTATATAGATCGTTGGTTCGGCCACATCTGGAGTACGCGGTCCAGTTTTGGTCGCCGGTACTGAGAAGGTCCTTGAACTGGAGAGAGTCCAGCGCAGAGCAACAAAACTAATTAGGGGAATGGAGGACCAGAGCTATGAGACGAGGCTTCTGACCTTAAACATGTTTACACTGGAATTAAGGAGATTAAGGGGGATATGATTTTCATGTACAAGATGTTCAATAGTGACGGCAACATTGGCAACAAACTGTTTGAGATTAACTCCATTACAAAGACTAGAGGCCAAAAAAAATTCCAGCACAATGGGCGAAGAGGGTTCTTTACAGTAAGAGCGGTTAAGGTCTGGAACTCACTGCCATCGGCAGTGATTTCAGCCAAGAGTGTAGATTTGTTCAAGAAACGTTTGGACAATTTCTTGAGGAACCGTAATATTCAGGGATACCAGTATCCCTAAGAATGAGATGATGCGTGGACCTATATGGGTTGGACTTGATGGACCTATGTCTTTATTCAACCCCAAATACTATGTAACTATGGTGGGTCATAACCACGCATGAAAGATATTTGGCCGATTGTATCATCCCCAGTAGTCTAAGGTGGGATACCCCGCCAAATGATGGTCTGAAGGACCAGGAATCTTTATCTGAGTGGATTGGTTTCTTCCACCATTGTGAGGAGAAACTACTACAATTGATTATAGGGCGTAAAAGACGTAAGCTTAATTTAAAAGAATTAAAAATTCAAGATCTAAAATGGAAACATACACTGATTCGGAAGAATTTAAAACTAACATAAGAAGTAGAAAAATTCCTACAAAAAAGGGGTACGGAAATTAAAAATAAGTAACATAAAAAATATATCGGGGATATGTGAGATTTCACCCTCTATTCTCGCAAGAAAATTTTACCATTTGAGACAACACCTAAAGAATTTTATGACCGCCAAAAGAATGCTTCTAGAAATAATATATCTAATCAGCATTTTTTAGGAAATTCCCACAGGAATTACCCCCCAAGAAATTATATGGAACATCAAAGTTTGGGGCACTAACAGGGGAGCCATCTGGACGGGAATTTCAGAACACAGGGAGGAAGAGGATGGAGAGAACCCTACATGATATCTCAACCGCAAAGGGGGAGATTCTACCGGGCCTGCGCTTTCAGAAAATATATGGTTTGGAGGGTCTTTTACAAAAGCTAGCAACGTAGCAGTTGAAAATCAAATCAATGGGAAAAATTGCAAAAATGGCGTGGCCAGCTGAATTAAAAAATGTTTCGGAGGGCTTGGCAGCGAAAGGG